GAAGGTGACTCTGAAGTTTAAACCTGTAAGAATAAATACCCAATTTTTTATAAATAGATTCCCATTTGGGGGTTCCCCCCTTGTATATTATTTTAGAAGGTGGTAAGTGCTGTGGAAAAGGAAAAGTTGGGTAAGAAAAAGGGGCCTGGAAATGCCGAGGGAAAACAGAGCTACTTGAAATTTGAAATACGATGGTCAGGATAACTCAGCAAAGTCATGAAGGCGTAAGGGAATGAATGGGCAATGCAGGTATGTGAAGAAACTAGTTAAGGCAGAGGGAGAGCTCAGTCAATGCCTGGTGTGTTCAAGAAAAAGCAACAGGTCATTGGGAAGAAAAGAGTGAGTGAGGGGGAGGGCAACAGGAATAACATAAGACAGGGAAAAAGAGCCAGAGTACACAGGGCTTGGAAAGCACCGTAAGCGCTTTAGCTTTTACACTGAGTGAAATGCAAGCTGCAGCAGGGTTTTGAGCAAATGAGTGACACAATCTGACTCATATTTTAAAAGATCATTCTGTTGACTCAAGCCTGTAATCCCAGCACTTTGGAAGGCCGAGGCAAGAGGATTGCCTGAGCCCGTGGATTCAAGACCAGCCTGGGCAACAAGGTGAGCCCTACAATAAATCAAAAAATTAGCTGGGCGTGGTAGCGCGTGCCTGTAGTTCTGGCTACTTGGAAGGCTGAGGTGGAAGGATCGCCTGAGCCCAGCAGGTTGACGCTAGGGTGGCCGTGAGCATGCCACTGCACTCCAGCCTGGGCGACGGAGTGATTCCAACTCAAAAGAAAAGAAAAGAAAAGATCATTCCGGTTGCCAGGTTGAAAATAGACTGCAGGTAGGGAAGGAGGGTAAGGCGAATCAGCTAGTCGATTGTGATAGTTATTTCAGGTGATGATGGCTAAGACCAAGGTGGTGACAGTGGACAATGCTGAGACTGGTTAGGTTCTGGATATGGTTTGAAAATAGAGTCATCATTATTTTGGCACCATTGGCTTTATTATTAGCAATTCTATGGTAATCATTACAGTTACTATGTTTTGACCACTCTCTATGTCCAAACTCTGTATTTTATTATTCTCTCTCTCTTTCTGGAGTGCAGTGGCTTATTATTCTCTTAAACTAGAGCTCAGAGAGCTTAAGCAGCTTCCCTAAAGGCACACATTTCATAAGGGGTCGTCCAGGTACTCCATCCTAGCTCTAGTAGATTTCAAAGCTAAAACGTTTAAAACTGCTGTGTCACCAGGCACGGTGGCTCATGCCTGTAATCTCAACATTTTGGGAGGCGAAGGCGAGAGGATTGTCTGAGCCCAGTGGTTCGAGACCAGCCTGGGTAACTTGGAGAGACCTCGTCTCTACCATAAATCAAAAACATTAGCCGGTCTTGGTGGTGTACACCTGTAGTTCTGGCTACTTGTAAGACTGAGACGGAAGGATCCCTTGAGCCCACCAGGTCAAGACTGTGGTGACCGTGAGCATGCCACTGCACTCCAACCTGGGTGACAGAGTGAGATTCTGGCTCAAAAAAGCAAAACCAAAAAACCAAAAAACTACTGTGTCACTAAGTCTGGTTTCTTTTTGCCTAACCCAGTGCCTTACACACAAAAGGTAATCAATATCTTTATGCTTAATTCATGAGTGGTATGATTTACTTTTCCCTATACTTACTGAGAATAAACTATATGTTTGCTTCTAAGGTTTTTAAATTTTTTGTTTTATTTTAACATGTATACATAGTCATCTTTTCCTTTTTTGGTACGTAGCTCCACGGGTTTTAGCACAGGCCTAGAGTTGTATAACCACTACCACAATCAGGATATAGAACATTTCCTTCCAGCCCCCTGACTTTCTCTTGCGATTCCTTTTGTAGTCAAACCTTGCCCCTACCCTAATTTCTGGCACACACTCATCTGTTCTCCATCTTTATAGCCTGTCATTCTAACACTTTCGGAGGCCGAAGCGAGTGGATTGCCTGAGCCCGTGGGTTCGAGACCAGCCTGGGCAACTTGGCGAGACATCATCTCTACAATAAATAAAAAATTAGCCGAGTGTGGTAGCGCTCCTGTAGTTCCAACTACTTGGAAGTCTGAGGTGGAAGGATAGCCGGAGTCCAGCAGGTCGACACTGGGGTGGCTGTGAGTGTGCCACTGCACTCTAGTCCAGCCTGGGTGACGGAGTGAGACTCTGACTAAAAAAAAAAAAAAAAAGAGAGTGAGAGTCCAACTCAAAAATAAAAAATAATAATAAAAAAAGAAAAAAATGTTCTTCCTGCCCCTGCCCCTTTTTTCCCAGACACCTTTCTGTTTGGAGACTATAAGATTGTGATGATGTTACTTAAACAGGAATAAGACACCTTGCTCACAGGTTTTTTGTGGTTAGTCAGGCAGTCCCTATGAAATAGGCCTAAACTTTTCTTTTCTTTTAGGAATGTTTTAGAAGTTAGACAATCCTATGTCATAAGATTATAAATGAAAAATGACTTCAAGGGATAAGAACACACAGCACTATCATGACAAAAACATTTGGTCACTTATTAATTAAATTAAAGCAGTATTTACTAAGTAGCTGATTAATGAATGGGTTATGTTAGATATGTCCTACGAAGAATGTAACTAAAAACATGCCTGGGTGTGGCGGCTCATGCCTGTAATCCTAGCACTTTCGGAGACTGAGGCAGGAGGACTGCCTGAGTCCTGAGGACTGCACCATTACACTCTAGCTGGGGTGGACAAAGTGAGACTACGACTCAAAACACACACACACACACAAATAAATAAATAACTTTTATCCTCATGGAATTTATAATTCAGTTATGAAGAAAAGTAAATTGTCTAAGAAATTTAAATAACGATCCCAGTAATACGTGATGAATGCATATTACAAGACTTTAATTTTTCAAAATCATGGCACACGCAATTTAAAAATATCATGCATTTATATATGATAAATATGTCATATACTATAATAATGTATATGTATAAGTTTGTATGTGCACTGTCACAGGTTATTTAAGTAACTTCTCACAGCAGATAGCCTGTGAGGTGGGTGGGTCCAGAATCTGAGTCCCTAAGCCATTTGAGCTAAACTTGGAGGACAGGGGAGCTAATCAGTACTTGGAGGAGGGAGAGGTTGCTTTAGGCAAACAGAGTGTCAAAAGTCAAAGTGCAGTGGGGCTCGGTGGCTCAGCCTGTAATCCCGCGTCTTGGGAGGCTTAGGTGAGTGGATTGACTGAGCCCGCAGGTTTGAGACCCGTCTGGGCAACTTGGTGAGACCTCATCTCTACAATAAATAAAAAAAAATCAGTCGGGTGCGGTAGCGCGCGCCTGTAGTTCCAGCTACTTGGAAGACTGAGGCGGAAGGATCGCTGGAGC